GTGGCACTGGCAGTTTCTTTTTTTTTTTTTTTTACTTCTTGCAAGGAAATGAATGGGTCCCCAATACAAAACTAGTACCTGGATTTCATCACAACAGGAGGGTTAAAAAATCTTAGTTATTCCAAACGTTTGCCTGCTGTGTAGTTGAGAATGAATTGTTTCATGTGTTCTCAGGTGTTCCTGACGAACTCTGCCAACGTGTTCTTGTTGGAGCCGTGTCAGGATGTGCCCAAGCTGCTGGAGAACCAGCTGGAGGTGTGCCGAGCTGTGCTCAGCGTCTACCGGCACATTATTATGGAGCAAAACATGAACCGCCCGACCTGGTCAGTCACACACGACACAAGAACACTGAATCTCAATAGAGCTCTGCTCTGGTTCACAAACATTCAGCTTATTGTGTGTGTCATATTATTGTAGGGAGCAATTGTTGCATGTGTTGCTGAGAATCACAGAAGCAGTGATGAAGAGACCACAGGAGGACCAAAAAAAAGACACGTTCGCCCACAGCCTGGCCAGCATCCTCTTCAAAGTGAGTACAAATAAACAACCCAAGGCTTCATACACACCACAGGGTTTTTCCAGGCTCAAAATGAGGCAGAGGCGGTACCATCCTGATCATGTGCACACATTGTACCGTGCCTTCAACTGGCTGAAGCAAACACTGTTACAAGCAACGGATTTAGGTATTCTAATAATTAGATGCATTAAAGCCATTTTTTAACCTATACAGTGCACAATCAGAGGCAGAAAATTTCAGCTTCCTATTTTTCATTTTATAAAACCATATACTTCATCCGCTGCTTAAAGTCCAATGCCTCTTGGCCCACATCGCAGAAATACATCTTATATAAAGTCTGTATTATTATATATTAGTTAGGAATGTAACGGTACAAAAAAAATGACAATTATTGCATACCTCGGATTTGAAGTCACGGTCTCTTATATCCAATTATAATTAAAATGTCTCTCTTAGCTATGCTGTAAACTAAGTAGGGAGCCCTATTACTGCACATAAATATAATAGTAGGTTACAGTTAACAACAGAATCCTATTAGATTAGATTAGATTCATCTGTTAGATTTAACAGTTCAGCTGCAAGATTTTAGACATTGTATGGAAACAAGAAAATTGCATAAGGCAGTGTTTACGTTAACTTATAAATCTAATTATAAAGGTATGTTTTCCTTCCAGTTCGTCATTTACACATGTCATACATTAAGACCTCGATAAGACCTGATGCAGAAACATGAAACTAATATTCTTTAATTTCTCTCTTTGTTTAAGGTCTTTGTTTAATTTGGATAAAACTCTAATGGCAGTAGAATGTTTTACCTGGTGTAATACTTTCTAATGCTTGTAAGATTGTTTTTGTTGCGTATGATGATGTAGTTGAAATGGCTGTGTAAATTGTGTGCTGCTGTCATTTGCAGACGATCTTCGTGGCGTGGGTGCGGGCCAACCTGACCGTGTTTATCTCTCGTGAGCTGTGGGACGAGCTGCTGGCTGTGCTGTCCTCTCTCAGCCACTGGGAGGAGCTGGTGTTCGAGTGGGCCAGCATCATGGACTCTCTCACTGCAGTACTGGCCCGTCACGTCTACGGCCTGGACCTCCACAACCTACCGCTGGACAAGCTCTCAGAGCAGAAGGAAAAGAAGCAGCGGGGCAGGGGTGTGTGTAAATTACATGAAATGGATAAGGCCTGTACGATGTAGATTGATATGTTTCTGACTTTTGACTTGGGGTAGACTTTTCAAATAATGCAGTCAAGTCCTTCACTTGAGTAACTGATTACTCTAAAATTCAAATGAACTAAAAATAAGCATGATGTTTGCAAAATGAATATTTTGATTTACGCACAAATAATAAATGGAAAAAATAAACATTAATAATGCATTAATTAGAGCCATGCATTCTTAAAAGTGTGCATAAAGGCTATCTTATTTTGATGTTCTTATTAAAAAATAAGCAGTAAAAATGTTCCTGTCAGCTTGATAGAAAATGTACTTCAGTTGAACTCACAACTGAACTGCAGCTAACTCTAAAGAAAATATATCATGGTTTTCCATGTTTTCAACAAATGTTTTCAAAATTGATAATAATCAGAAATATTTCTTGAGCAGCAAATCAGCATATTAGAATGATTTCTGAAGGATCATGTGACACTGAAGACTGGCGTAATGATGCTGAAAATTCAGCTTTGATCACAGGAATAAATTACATTCTAAAATATATTTCCTTTATTTTTGATCAAATAAATGCAGCCTTGTTGAGCATAAACGACTTATGCTCTCAAAAACATTACCAAATATTACTGATCACATACTTATGAATGATAGTGCATAACATGTTGAACCATATAACATGCAGTGCAGTGTAGTTTATATGATTAAATTACTCTTCAGGTTAAGTTAACTCCTCGTGCAGTAGTGTATTTATAAAAAACCAAAAAAAAAAGTCATATAGTGACTGTGTGAAACGGCAGACTTGACTTGCATGCTTTTATGGTGAAATTGCTAGTTTTATGAATTAACCCCAAGTTTATTGACCAAAAACAATACACAGTCACTTTGTTTTGGGTAATAAACTAATACACCGGTAATAATTGGGTAATAACCCCCCCCCCTCCCATATTGAATGTCAGATCATGAAAGAATAAGATGGAACACTGTTACTGACATGTTGGCTTTGCATATAAAGTAACACATTTGGATTTATCTGAACATTAAAAACTCATTTGCGGAAATAATTCAGATAACTGGAGTTTGAATCAGAGACAGTTACAGTAATAGTAATCTTGTGTGTGTGTGTGTGTGTGTGTGTGTGTGTGTGTGTGTGTGTGTGCGTGTGTGTTTCGGGAGTGATGCAGGACTCCCAGAAGGCTACAGATGCACCGCGGTCGTTCTCCTTGAGCTGGAGGAGCTCTGGAGACCAGGTGGGCTCTCAGGAGCCCATGAGGTTCCGCAGTGCCACCACAACTGGAGCTCCTGCTGTGGAGAAAGCTCGCAACAACGTCAGGCAGACAGCATCAGGTTAGAGCTAATCTGCAGGACTCATGAATGCTCCAGATGAACACAGTCTGTCTCAGATGTCTGCAGGGTGGTTTGCTTACAACTTGTTTGTTTTATTTGCATAATTCCAAACATATTTGACTGAAGATGTAGGGCTTTATTAAATCCATTTTATTATTTCCCAATTTGCGTTTCATTTTTTCCCTAATCGTTTTTTGTTTGTTTGTTTCCCCCATTTTATTTTTTCCGAATCCTGTTTTGATTGTTAAATAATCAAAAGACATGTCTAAAATTTAATATGAATTCACAATTTAATCATATATATATATATATATATATATATTTATTTTATTTTTTTTCCCTTCTAGAGTAAATAAATTCTATCGAACACTATATTATTTATTTATTATAACCATTATAATATATAATTGCTATTATATTTATTAATATGTTGAATTAGTGTTTATGTTTTCAGTTTCCATTGCAGTTTTACTTTCAGTTTAAGTGATTTTGTCATGTGGTTTTCTAATTTTTATTATTTTATTTATTATTTATTATTTTATCCTACACCCATCATATTAATTTTACACATTCATATTTCCATGGGTGGTCCTTCTCCTCCCCGTTATAGTGTCTCTGGTAATATAGATATAATCAGTGTTGGGAGTAACGCATTACAAAAGTAATAATATTACAGTAGTATATTACTTTTTGCTGTAACGCAGTAATATAACGCATTACTAATCAAATTTGGGTAATATTATTACTCGTTACAATCTCAGTAACGCAAGTTACAACAACATATTTTAACTCAAAATTAAGTGGTGAATTTACTAACACCGCAAAACAGCACCAGAGAAAAACATCCGCGGGTAAAATAGTTTGTCTATCTTCTGTTGCTGGAATTAGATGGTTGAGATGACTGCTGCCTAATTGGATTTCTCCTACATTGATCTTCAAACAGCCCAGCGTCCTCCCCTCCTCGTTAGGAGAGCCGCCTCATCAAACTGCCTGCCTGTTTTTGATAGTTTCATTAAGAGCGTAATTAATGCTCATTAATATGCATAAATAGGTAACTCGACGAAAGCGATGTAATCTAAAAAGAAAAGGCGGTAATTAAAGCGCGCCATAGAGGGAATAATAGAGCCCTCCGCTTTCACGGCTCTTCTCCAGACGTGACATGGAGTGGCCAAAAAAACACAATGCTAATATTTTGTCTTATCAGAGCTGGCAGAGCAAACTTGAAATAATGTGCTTCATATTTCCTTCTCGGCGATTGAGTATCAAAGGATGCCATGAGCCGAACGAGAGCACGGTTAGAAATCCTCAAAGTGTGTCCTCTGTTTGACTTCAGCTTATTTCTTGTAAAAATACCAATAAAAAGCTCTTTACAGAACAAACACTTGCAGCATTCATTCAGGTTGCACTTTGATGCGATGCCTTCATAAAGTCGTGAAACAGAATCTGCATTTTAGTCTTGTGTGCTGGTGTTCACTGTTACTATTGCGCATACTTTGGCTTAGCCATTTCAACAACCCCTTGACCCTGAATGCTACATAGACATGTCTGATATATCACAGTGAAGAGGTGTGTAGTGTTACTTTAAGCCACCAGACTTACAGGTCACTCGTGTAGAAGATTAATTCCATTTTGTTCTTTTTTTGCCTATTAGATAAAAGTTGTTCAACTGTTTTCTTGTATTTGTAGACTGTTGAATCGCTTGTGTCAGATGAATATGATATATGAAGTTTTACAGCCATATGCAACTGCCTGAGCAGATGTGATGCAGTCTAATCAGAACTAAGAGCGTGAGGTGGGGATTTCTGGTGCTTTTGTGCTAAAAGGTTTATTTTTAAAGTCACCCTGAAATCAAAACTGACCGTTCTTATTTTTTTTATGGAATATTGTAGTGCTGGGCGGTATACCGGTTCATACCGAATACTGGTGTTTA